TGACATCTAGGTCCAGCATCTGCATCTCAAAGTCATCCCATCCAGGTGACCTTCCAGGGGGTCCTGCTCCTTCTACCCGATAACCTTCCCTCCTCTAAGGCGGGGCAACACCAGCCAGGCTTCCCCTGTCTGATAACTTCAGGGGGAAAACTCAGAAAGGAATTTTTCGTATTTACATCCAACAAGACCTTTGTTCGGGAGAAGAAAGAGAGGGGGAGGGAAAGAAAGACCCATGCCCTTAAAAACCCCAGCCTAAATGCAAACTGTGCACTCTCTCTCAGGTGCTGCCTGGAGAGGTGCCCATCTGTTCTTATGGATGTCCCTACCCTAATACACTTTGCTATGTTGCTTTCCCCTGCTCTCTGTCTCACGCCTGAATTCTTTCTTGCGCAAAGACAAGGACCCTTTTGCTTCTCTGGTAACAATTCTTTCTGTTCTCTAAACCTGAGCGAAGTCGGCACTCAGAGTAAAGTCTCAGTCCTGCTTCTCAGTCTCCTGTCCTTGCTTGCGTTTCATGCTGGGTGTGACCCGACTGTGGCCTGCTCTCAGCTCATGCCTCGGATCCGCAGGATCACGCAGGATCATGGCTCCGTCTGGGATGTGCCCTCTGCAGGGGGCATGGTTTCCACGCTTCTCTGGTTCATGTTCCTGCGTCCTCCAAGACCTCAGCTCATGTACCCCTTCCTTCAGAATTCATCCTTGGATCTCTTCCTCCTGGAACTCTACTTCATTCATGGCCTCTCTCTCTAGGCAGACACTTAGCGTAGTAAACTGCACTGATCTGTCTACATGTCTGTCTTCTCTGTCCCTTCAGCCTGGAACCTTCTTAGTCCAGGGACAGCATCTTATCAGAAAGGCTAACATAGTTTAGGCTGGGAATGAAAATACTGATTGTAATCGGAACTGAGAAGAACGACATGTGTGCAGTACCGGCACACGTTACCACGCGTGGTGGCAGCACTTCCTGCTCCTCAGATATCTGCCCAGCAACCACGTGTCGGTGCGTGGGCCACGGGGCCTGCTCTGGAAAGTCACCTCAAATGATGGTTTGCTAGTTCCTGGCCAGACTTTGTGTCGGTCACCAAGCATCACCATGGTTACTGGGATGACACAGCAATCTCCAGACAGCTAGAAGATTTTAGTTAATTAGAGCCACAGAGGACTGGCAGAGGATGGCAACAAGGGGAGCAAATCAAAGCCTCCTTGCTCCACAAGGCTTTGTCCACTGTTGATCCCTTGGTATCTTTTTACCTACCCCCATCTCTCTAAATCGAGAACCGGATGGCCCACCTGAGGCTAATTGGCCTAAGCATTAAAAATAAAGATAAGGGAAGCAACTGGAAATGCTGTATTGGCATTTGGATAATGGTACAAGATGTTTTATTAGCGTATGTAAGAATTATACTTTTTTATGGATTGTACAGTTGGAAGAAGTTAACAGAGACCTAACAGATAACAGGAACCTGAGTTTTGGGCTCAGATGCAGGAATGTCTAGCCGCATAACCCAGGACAAGCTACACCATCTTTCTAATTTACATTTTTATTCTCTCATTTACAAGGTGGTGAGGAATATCTATATTTCGTAAGATTCCGAGAGCTGAAAATACGGACGTGTCTCAGTTTCTTTAGCTATCGAATGTAGGCAATCCCAGAGAATAAACAGCACAATGAGGGCCCGGCCTGTTTGCCAGGCTGCTGGCTGTCGGCTGGCTCAGTGACGGTGATGCTGAAGCCAGCCTTCCCGGGGAGAACGCGCCGTACTGTGCACTGTTTCACGTGGCTTACGCACATCACCCGAGTGAATCATCTCTGCTGTCCTGCTGTCTGTCATTCCCATTCTGGCTCCCCAGCGGGCACTTTCAGCCACTAAGTGATGATGATGGTGACGGCAATGTAAGGCACTTAGTAAAATGCTCAGCACAGGGAAAATGCTCAATAAATACCCACTAGTATCATGGTGCTGGTAATACTTTTTTTTTCCTTTTTTTTGACAGGCAGAGTTAGACAGTGAGAGAGAGAGAAACAGAGAGAAAGGTCTTCCTTCCATTGGTTCACTCCCCAAATGGCCACTGTGGCTGGCGCGCTGTGCTGATCTGAAGCCAGGAACCAGGTTCCTCCCCCTGGTCTCCCATGCGGGTGCAGGGCCCAAGCACCCGGGCCATCCTCCACTGCCCTCCCAGGCCACAGCAGAGAGCTGGACTGGAGGAGGAGCAACCAGGACAGAACCAGCGCCCCAACCGGGACTAGAACCAGGAGTACTGGCGCCGCAGGCGGAGGATTAGCCTAATGAGCCATGGTGTGGGCCAGTGCTGGTAATATTAATAGTGATTTCTAGAGGTGGAAGTTCTATATCTATGTTCCATATTCATTCAAATATTAAATCACTTTTATCTCCTTCTGTGTATCTAAAAATTGTTTTCTAGTTTCTGGGGTTTTTGAAATATTTCCAAGGAAGAAGAGAACAAAAAGTTCCCTGTAATAAAGTTACTCTATTTGAAGATATTTATTAGTTTATTGAACGTAATTATTTAAGGATTTTAAAAAATTATATATTTTATTTATTTGAGAGGAAGAGTTGTCTTATTTGAGTTCCTTCTTTGAGGGCAGGGGCTGCATTATTTTCCTATCCCTAATTCTTGGTGTGCAGCAAGGACTTAAGAAATGAATGGAGGATTACATTATACTCATCTTTTAGTCTTAGTACAAGCACCATCTCCCATTCCCCTCACCTACTGTGAACCACTCACGTTAGTGCGTAGTTAACTACTGCCTCGCCCTGAAGCTCAGAGCTCACCAAGCAGCTGCCCATGCCCTGGCCCACTGAGTGACTATGGCTGAAATTTCAGTTGTTCACTGTCAGGTTGTTCAGACAGCTTATATAAAACCTTAAGTTTATATAAAACCTTACCCTACGTCATTGCATATAGACTTTTAAAAAATATTTCTTTATTCATTTATGTGAGAGGCCCAGCAATAGAGGAAGAAGGACACACACACACACACACACACACACACGGAGGGAGACAGAGAGAGAGAAAGAGAGAGAAAGAGAGAGAGAGAGAGGATATTCAATCTACTGGCTTACTCCCCAAACTTCCACAATAGCCATAGATGGGCCAGGCTGAAGCCAGGAGCCAGGACTTCAGCCTGGTGTCCCCCTGGCAGGGGCCCAGGCACTTGGGCTATTGACCACTGCTTTCCCAGGCACATTAGCAGGCGGCTGGATTGGAAGCAGGACTAGAACTGGTGCTCAGATACGGGATGCTGGCATAGTAAGCCATGGCTTAGCCCACTGTGCACAACACCAGCCCCCATATGACTTTTTTTTTAAGCAAATGACTTAATTCCTACATTCCTCAGATTTTGAAACTGGTCATCTAGTTAATCATTATAAAGAACTTTTCCCAATATTCTAATGCAGCTTAGAGGATTTCCCAGAGTTTTGGATTAAGGTAGTGGATTAAAACTGTGTCACAGGACTTCTAATTTCTAACTGGAAAAAAAATAAAACTTCCTTCAAAAGGACAGCTCCAAGCAGCAGCCGAAGCGGGCAGAGGCGTAACTGGAGGAATCAACTGCAAGCACTTCCGGCTCCCAGAGCAGAGGCAGCCCATGCTTGGACTCTCGAGCCCTGCCCTTCTCCCCTGCAATGAGACTTCCCTCTCTCCGAGACAAAAAGATTTGACTTCCTTTGTGATATTAGGGAATATTTGCCTTTAATTATTTGTGCAAATTGACCAGAGTATAATTTATTTTCTTTCTTTCTCTTAGTCATTTCTCTTCTTGACAGGCAGAGTTAGACAATGAGAGAGAGACAGATAGAGAGAAAGGTCTTCCTTCCGTTGGTTCACCCCCGAAGTGGCCGCTATGGCTGGTGCTCTGTGGCTGGTGTGCTGTGCTGATCTGATGGCAGGAGCCAGGTGCTTCCTCCTGGTCTCCCATGGGGTGCAGGGCCCAAGCACTTGGGCCATCCTCCACTGCCTTCCCGGGCCACAGCAGAGAGCTGGCCTGGAAGAGGGGCAACCGGGACAGAATCCGGCACCCCAACCGGGACTAGAACCTGGGGTGCCGGTGCTGCAGGCAGAGGATTAGCCAAGTGAGCCGCGGCGCGGGCCAAGAGTATAATTCCAAAAGTAAAATCTGCAAATAATAACAGGCACTGCTTGGGAAATACTGAAACAGCTTAATTTTTAGGGTAATAACAATGAAGCAGCCATGGTTTTGTGAGACTGCAAAGGGTAGGATGCAGGGGCACGAGAAGGACGGGGGCAGAGGGTGCCAGAAGTGCAGAGAATGGACAACCTGCGTGCCGACACTCTCCTGTTCCTCCAGTGATGGTGAGAGGCCTTGTAGAGGAGAACTCTATTTGTGAATTTTCAGTGGAGCTGAGACGCTCGCAGATTTTACATTGGTGAGTGGGGGTGGGGATCAGCAAGTCACATGTCTGCTAGGGTTACTGGTATCATTACAGCTTCCTGGACAGGCCGGATTAGAGGGCAAACATTTTCCTGAAGCTCCTGCCTGCAGTGCCGGCATCCCATAAGGGCACTGGTTCTAGTCCTGGCTGCCCCATTTCCAATCCAGCTCTCTGCTATGGCCAGGGAAAGCAGTAGAAGATGGCCCAAGTGCTTGGGCCCCTGCACCTGTGTTGGAGATCCAGAAGAAGCTCCTGGCTCCTGGTTTTGGATTGGTGCAGCTCCGGCCGTTGCAGGCAATTGAAGAGTGAACCATTGGATGGAAGACTCTCTCTTTCTCTTTCTGCCTCTCCTTCTCTCTCTGTGTAACTCGATGACTTTCAATAAGCAAATAAATATTTTTTAAGAAAAAAAAATCAACTAACAGAGCTGTGCGGTGAGTGTACAGTTTTATGCAGGTATTTTGGTGTTGATTAACCTCTGCTGACTGGCTGATGAGGGTCTGGATAACTTCTCCCACAGTTTTGGGGATGTGGTAAGCCTTAGACTCAGATTATCTTTTTGGTCCATAAGTGGAAGATTACCTGCAAATTATCCAGGATGATCCGGAGGGAGTGCACTTGTCTTCGAACGGCACCTGAAAACCTTTCATAGGTTGCAGCATCGTATTCACTCATCTGGATCTCTTTCAGCCTGCAACCGGAGGAGGAAGAAAGACAGCAGCTTAGATCATGTTTGAGGGTCCTTTGAAAGGTTCATGAGAAAGTGGAATTCAAAGATAAGGTTGTTTTGGTGAAAAACTATTGAAACCCATGCATAGTTTTTTCTTAATACATTTTCCATCAGCTTTTGAAGAGCCCTTGTCCATGTATGGCTTTTGCTTTCATCCACCTACTGTTAGAGCTGTAGCACACTCCTTGGCACCTCAGGTTGACTCTGAGAAGAAAAGGCAAGAACTGGTGTCTCTGGATAAAAAGGGGAGATTCTACTTACTGGTGTGCTGGGGAACGGCTAATAAGCTCCCCTGCAGGAAGAAAAGTGCTGATTTGTGTATATATTTACTGATTTCTGTTGTGCAAATGTTCCCACCACGATCGCTCAGTTAGAAATGCACACAGTTGGCTCCTGTGAGCCGGTATAAACTGGCTCCATAGTATACCATTTCTGTATTCCCCAGACATGATATTGTGATACTGGCAGTTAATCAATTCATGTGACAGGTCCCTAAGAGAAATCCCATGGGCTGTATTTTAAGACAGAGGCTACAGGAGTATATTTGGTTGACCAAGATGAACAGACCCAAAGAACACACACTAATGCGTTGCTATATATTCTTATATGAGAGTTTCCTAAAGTTGCTGGTGGTATACATTAAGTAGGACAATACGATTTTATTGTGGTTTTGACTTTTATCCCCCCTCCAGTTCACTGCTTCTTGTCGTCTGTCACCACCTGCTTCTGCTGCAGCACCCCCAGGCCACTGGCGGTTCTCTGCACACACAGTGGGGCCATGCCTTGGTGCCTCTGCAGGGGCTTCTCTCCCACCACCGGTGCCCCTCGCCTGCCTCTTCGCCTGCTAACTCCCACTAACCTTTCAAGACTCACACCAATGATCACTTCCTCTGACCCCCCAGACTGCTCTCTCTCCACTTCATTGCTCCCTCAGGGCATCTACAAGGACTGAGCTTTTCTCCTCTTTGTACGTACAGGGCCGACCATGGTACTTGACACAAAATAAATAGAAATGAATGTCTACAATAAAAATAAGATTCAGGATTACTCAGAACTCAGCATCGCAGGGGCAGGTGTTTGGTGTAGCAGTTTAGATGCCATTTGAGATGCTGCATCTCGTGTCAGAGTGCCTGGGTTCCATCCTGGATTCTCTCCCAATTCCAGCTCCCGACTAATTCACAGCCTGGGAGACAGCAGGAGATGGCTCAAGTAGTTGGGTGTCTGCTGCCTATGGGGGAGGCCCAGATTCAGTTCTCAGCTCCTGGCTGTTGTAGGCGTTTGGGGAGTGGTCCAGCAGGTGGGAGATCTGTGTGTCTGCCTCTGCTTCTTGTCTACATAAGTAGAAAGGTCATTCCCTGAGTGCTCTCTCTCGGGTTTTGCTGTACTGCACCCACACCACTAATTTAATCATGCATTTCAATAAATTTCTATAAATATAAAAGGTTCTAGTATGAAGACAAGGAATAGTGAATGCATATTTCAAAGGCCTGATCATACCACAATCCTCTACGCTGGCCTGATCATCACAGGGCCTTCTATACTGCTCTGTGGTGGGCAGATATGTGAGCCCTGTACGCAGCGCCGGAGGCACGGACTGCAGGTGCACTGCTAAAACTCTCATCTAAAACACTCTTACTTTCATTGTTCTGAGGCGGAACAGAAACCCCAGATGCTGAAGGAGAATGAAGGATTTCTATTCCTCCTTGTCAGGCTGAGCACTGGGAAGAGTCGCTTCAACACAGGGTGGAGAACTGGATGTTTATTAGAACCACATGAAGCTGGGCCCCAGTGACCATGGAGATGATTGGCACCTCCTGCTCTGTTACCGGGTGAGTTAGGTATCAGCTATTCAGATTTCAAGACTTGGATCAATGGCTAAATCCTATGAAGTCTTGCCCAATCCCTTGGGGAACATTGACCATTCTATTTTGGACACCTTATGTGGACATCGACCTTGGAACTTGCACATTTTACTGCTTTAATAGACAGATCCATTTTGCTCTGTCATGGTCTTTGTCAAATTTTTCTCTTCCACAGTAGGGAATACATCTTATGTTGATATCCAGTAAACCCAACTGTGTGTGTGTGTGTGTGTGTGTGTGTGCACAAGTAAACCAAAAATTCAGTGAAAAGTACATTTATAACAAATGAGGTACTCTCATGTTTTCAGTTCTATTCCTCTTGGAGAAGCATCACATCTTATTTTTTCTTTGAATCTGAAGTACCTAGCACAATGCCTGGCACACAGTAGCACTCAATAAATGCTGTTGGACAGCACTCTGCAAACATTATCAGAAGGTAAATGCACACAAGGCCACTATAACAGCTGAATGATTGTTTTCCTAGGGTGACACTGCAAGGTGCATGTCTGAATCTAATTAACTCTTCTCTAAGAAAAAAGGAATATAACTATATATATTATATGTAAGTATATATAGTATACATACATACATATACAGTTATATATACTACATACATACATACATATACATATGTATATAGCATGTATACTATATATACTATATATACTCTATATATATACTCACACACATGAACACACACACACACATATATGTTTATCAAAAAGGAATACCACACACACACACACACACACACACACACACCTGACCTCTTAACAATACTTTTTCTGGCAATCTCTGGATCCCTTGGATTAAGTGATGTGTTGAGTATCAAGGCTGACAGAACACCACAGGGTATGTGCCTGACCACTTCATACCTAGGAAGCCAAGATCTCTTCCTCAAAGGAGATTAGTACTGACTGGAAAGAGTGTAGATGTGGCTTGCCTCTGGGATGTGGGGGAGAGGGAACAGAAAATACACACATGTCTGCACAGATGCTCACATACACACATGTACACCTGTTAGTATTCATGTTAGTAAGTCCCCTCAAGCAGAACGGGCTTTGCAGAGAGATCAGAATTAGCTCCAGTTATAGGTCTACCCCTGGTGTGATCACGCTGCACCCCAAAACACAACACACGTTATTTTAATGATGAAGAAATGTGGAAATCATATTCCAGATGGTATCGGATTTCAGAAAGATCACCTCAAAGATGTTCAAAGCTACTCACAAATTCTGAAAGATGAAGACCAAAGCAAGGCATGGAGAAGGAAAATAGGAAAATTTAACCTCGGGATCACACAAGCTCCCCATTGCTAATACTGTCAGCCCACAAAACTAGCTGAAAATATTTCTTCCTGCTTCTCCTAGAACTGATCAAAACTGCAGGGCACAGCTGCTTCACATCCCAGTAATCTGTGCACTAGCTGCACTTTGTTGGCACAGGGTACTTATAAAGGGTATATTTATTGTTACGTAAGAGTCTGGGAATTTTAGTTCTCATTTCGCTTTTTCTTATAGGTCAGACTTAAATACTATAATTTAAAATCAATTTTGAGGAAAACAAACATAAGCTGAGAACCAGTATGTGAGGCTGATTAGTTTTGCAAATGGTCACGGAGGCAGTTTCCACAGCTGGAGCCCACCCTCAATGCTTTTCTAAGTGTGCATGAGTATCTTACTGTTTCATCCACTTTTTGTTGGTGTAATATTTCTGTTCCATTTTATGCATGTCTTATGCTTGTCTCTCTCTGCTAGTCTTCCTGAATTAACCAATTTATGATCTGTAGAAATAGGCACCTGGGTTTTAAAACTGATACAGGGGCCAGCGCTGTGGTGTAGCGGGTAAAGCCAACGCCTGCAGTGCCAGCATCCTAAATGGGTGCTGGTTCGAGTCCTGGCTGCTTCACTTTCCATCCAACTCTCTGTTATGGCCTGGGAAAGCGGCAGAAGATGGCCCAGGTCCTTGGGCCCCTGCACCTGCATTGGAGACCAGGAAGAAGATCCTGGCTCCTGGCTTTGGATCAGTATAGCTCTGGCTGTTGTGGCCAACTGGGGAGTGGACCAGCAGATGGAAAACCTCTCTCTCTCTCTGTCTCTGTCTCTGTCTGTCTCTCTCTCTCTCTCTCTCCCTCTACCTCTCTGTAACTCTGCCTTTCAAATAAATAAATAAATCTTTTTTTAAAAAAAGGAAGACTTCAGAATAGGAAAAGAGGAAGTCCAAATACCCATGTTTGCAGATGACACGATGTTATACATGGAAAAACCTAAACACTCCACCAAAGAAAAGCTGTTAGAACTTAAAAACCAATTCAGTAAAGTTGCAGATTACAAAGTAAACATAGAAAAAAAAAAAGATACAAATGAAATTAACTAAATAACTAAATTCTATGTTGATGATATCAAGAATTCATCAGCAGGATTCGATTCTTCCGGGCAGCAGAGTGAACCTTCTTGGCTGATAGCTGGGGCTGCCTCATCCCAGGTGGCCTCTGAAACAAGTACTAGAAGGGGGCACTATACTTGCATGTATGTGTGTATTACTGATTCCAAATGGGAAGGAACATTTGCCATGCACCAGGTGCTGGGTATGGGGCCTGGGGTTGTGCTGGAGCACATAACATAAATCCCTGCCCTTGAGAAATGCACAGTCTGTGGAGACAATGAAGTAATCACACAAACAATAAAGTGGGAGAGAGTGATAAGGATTATGGAGAAAAGGTATAGGGTGCTGTAAAAGCAAGAATGGCAGGGCCCCGCCCCACTCTGCATGTGCCTGGAGGGGCAGAATTGCTTTAAAATGGATTATTTGATGACTAAAGAATTACTGCTTCTTTGCAAGACACAATACTTGCATTGTGTGTCTGTATTTTTTTACGTTCCGTATCATAGAGACACACCGGAATGTTCACAGTGAGACAACAGGACGTCTTGGGTGAGTTTCATGTTGATCTCGGGGTAGAGACTGGGTGTAGAGCCGGATTTTCCTTCTCGCAGTTGGAGGGGCTGGGAGGTTGGGTCCATAGGGTTCTTTCTTTGTGATTTCTCTCCTTTTGTTTTCTGCCTTGAAGGCTCAATAACACAAAGTCACAGGAGCATCTCCAGCAATACTGAATGGGTACTCATCAGGTCAGATGGACGCCCCATCTCTACATGCACATCGCGATGTTTTTCTCTGGGTGTGCTGCACGCTCCTGACTTTCTCAGGCTCTCCCAGCACTTTCATTTCATCCCCACGCCTTCTCCTAGCCTGGTCCACCTGCTCTCTAACAATGGCCTGCTACTGTCTCTTACTCAGGGTGAGATTCTGCACAGTGCGTCACAGAGGTGCCTGTACTCCTCCACGGCCCCCGCTTCCTCCAGCACACCCAGTGAGGTAGTAGTCCTGTTATCGCAAATGCCTCCTGAGCTCGTCCCCCGGCGAGGCCATGGTCTTTATGGAACCAGGCTCCCTTTGCCATCTGGCCATGTGGACTACTGCTGTGCCAGAGCCCTCTGTCCACTTGTCAGACTGGAAGATGTCGTGTGATGTTTTGACCACGGTGACAACGGGAGCTCAGGTGGGCGGGGGAGCACGACATCTAGCTAACTGGTTCTTTGCCTAAATGGACCTCCTCGTATTAATGTGAAATGTAAAGTGACAGCATGTCACAGGACACCAGATGTTCCACACGGGGTGGGGGGGTGGATCTCACAGCTCACGTGCACTAGAACGTGCCTTTTCACTACCTTGCTCCTCACAGAGCACACGCGTATCAGTCTGCTGCCCAAGCCGCAGCCCCGCCCCTCAGTCTGAAAGCACGTGGTGGCATTTTCCACTGTTAGTGGAAGGACACACATGGCTGTCTAGGGAAAGCATCGTGTGGGTTCCTGGTTTCTGGGTGGGTTCAAGGCAGCCCAGAACAGCTGGGGAATGTCTGCAGCCCACGGGCGCAGCAGCCTGGATGACAAACTCCTCATCTGCTGACAAGCTCGCCCCATCCAGCCCCACTGCCTGCTGCTCCCCACCAGTGCCCCTCGTCCTGGTGGGCAGGCGGCCCTCTCCACCACGGACAATATGGACACACAGCTTCCTCTCCTTGAACAAGCTAGGGCTCCTCTGCCGGCCCTACCCATCGACTTGCTGCTTCTAGAGAACATGGGTTTATTTGAAAGAGTTACAGAGAGAGGAGAGGAGGGGGTGGGCGAGGGAGAGAGGGAGGGGGAGAGGGAGGGAGTGAAGAAAGGAGGGAGGGAGGGAGAGGGAGACAGGGAGGGAGAGAAAGAGAAAGAGAGAGAAAGAGAGAGAAAGAGAGAGAAAGAGAGAGAAAGAGAGAGAAAGAGAGAGAAAGAGAGAGAGAGAGAGAGAGAGAGAGAGAGAGTCTTCCACCCATTGGTTCATTCCCCAGATGGCCTCAACAGCCCAGGCTGAGCCAGGCTGAAGCCCAGGAGCCAGGAGCCTCCTCGGAGTCTCCCATCTCCCACGCAGGTGCAGGGGCCTAGGCACTCGCCATCTCCCACTGAGAGCAGCTGGCAAAGGAACCAGCGCTCACTGCCTAACACACGAACCCTGTCTTTCTCCATACGGCAGGGGCACAGCCTCTGCACCACACGACATCGGCACTGACAGGCTGCGTGCATGTGTCTGCATGTGCAAGTTTGTGCTTATGTGTATGTGTGTTTGTGTGTGCATGTGCATGTGCTCATGTGTACCTGTGTGTGTTCTGTGTTTGTGTGTTTTGTGTGTGTGTGTGCGCATGTTTGTGTGTGCGCCTGTGTGTGTGGTTTGTGTGTACCTGTGTGTTTGGGGTGCATGTGCGTTTGTGTGTGTCCCTGGGTTTATGTGTGTGTCTGTTTGCACGTAGGCACTTGTGTCTGTGTGCGTATTTGTGTGCCAGTGTGTTTGTGTGTGCACACATTTGTGTGCTTATGTGTGCCTATATTTGTGTTAGCATGTTTGTGTTTAAGTGAACATGTGTTTTGTGCGCACATGTTGTGTTTGTGCATTCATGTGTAAACACATATGCACACACACGCAGACACATGCACAAACACATGCATACACAAGCACATGTGTGAACACAACACATGCACACACAAATACAAACATGCAAACAAAAACACACACACATACATGCACACACACATACACACGTGCACAGGCATGCACACATGCACACACATGTACACAATACTTATGAGCACACCTATACACATAAAAACAATCATACACAGAAGCATGCACATGGACATACACATGCGCACATGTATGTGTGTGCATCTGTGCATGCATGTGTATGTGTCCATGTATGCACATGTGTTTGTGTGTACATGCATGTTTCTGTGCATGTGTTTGCACATGCGTATGCACGTTTGTGAGTTTGTGTGTGCACGGTTTTGTGTGTGCATGTTTGTGCACATGTGTGCTTCTGTGTGTGCATGTGAGTGTGTATACGTATGCATGTGCGTGTGTCATCACCAGCACTGCTCTGGCTGTGACAGGCACCCCACCCACCTCTGTTGGAAGGCTCTCTGTCCCATCTCCCTGGCGGCTCTCTTGACCTCCTCAGGCACCGCGTCTTTCTCAGCATCAGAGAGCTGGTACACTGGGTGTCCTGCATCCAGCCGGTAGGGACCGCCTTTGCCCCCCAGGCCTGCAGTGTCTCGTCCCCCTGGAAGGAAAACAGGAGAATGCAACTGGTGAGTCTGGACCTGGCCACAAAACAAAGTTGAATCAGCACTTTAAGGTGTGCTGCAGGTACAGTGATTGTAGTTAGCTAGGAACCAAATTCCCCAACACCTGCTGTGGAAGCAAAGCTGTTGGCCCTGGTCAGCATGCTCCGCCTTCCCTCCACCCACACGAATCCCACCCGACTCCATGTCCACACTGGAGGGCACTGGACTGGATGCCTCCACTCCAGAGGGAGCCATACTTGTTCTTCTTTTTTTTTTTTTTTTTAAGATTGATTGATTTATTTGAAAGGCAGAGAGAGAGAGAAAGAGAGAGATCTTCCATCCGCTGGTCTACCCCCACAATTGGTCGCAACGGCCAGAGCTGCACTGATCCAAAGCCAGGAGCCAGGAGCTTCTTCCGGGTCTCCCACAAGGACTGACTTGGGCAATCTTCTACTGCTTTCCCAGGCCATAGCAGAGAGTTGGATAGGAAGTGGAGCAGCAGGGACTTGAACCGGCACCCATATGGGATTCCAGCACTGCAGGTGGCGGCTTTACCCGCTAAGCCACAGAACCAGCCCCTGGGATCCATACTCCTCTGTTCTATATGTTGTTCTTCAAAAGCTATTTTTCTTTTCTCACTAGATGATGAATAGGACAATTCTATTTTATTTATCTTTGTACCTCTGCACCTCCCTGATTGGCTCCAATATCATAAACATGTAGAATACACTGGAAAGTTAAACGGGCAGCCTCTCTTCTCTTGCATGGTACCTGTTTTTCCTTAAGTTACTAGGACACAGCTCAGCCTCAGTTTCTTGGGTTTTGCAAAGTAGAAAAATGTTGCATAGTTAAGTAACCTATTAATGTCATTTCTAGCTTAGTCCAGATTAGAAGCCAATTATTCCAACAACTTTGACTCTTACTTTCCAACAACATAACACATAAACAATGCCAGCTTTAGAACAGTGTTTCGACTTTAACTCAGGCTCACATACTTTTAAGTACACGTTACAAAACAGCATATGAACTGTTTAGGTTTAAAATACGAATTACATGCCTATGAGGCCAGCCAGGTAATATCATAAGAAACAGTAGGGACACTTGGTAACTAGGAGAACTTGTCTTGTCCAAATACATCCTGATGCAAATTAATTTAAAACACTAAGCTGACCAAAGAAAGTACCTACATGTGACTTTTGACTACTGGTCTTTCACTCCTGTGTAACGACTGGGATATTAGTAAGAGTTCCTGTGCTCAGTCACACGACTTGGGAACTTGGAGGAGAATCCAACATGGGCTGTATGGGGTTGTAGGTACAGTAACACAGCACAGTATAGCATCACACAGTAAGGAGCAATAGTATTGTATTGTGTGGTCTGTAGCAAAGTCAGACTGCCTGAGTTTGAATCCTGGCTAGTTTGCTAGCTGTGTGTCTTGATTTCCCCAAAGATACTTTGTTTCTTTGTATCTCAACCACCTCATCTAGCAAACAGGGATATGGATATTTTTAGTTAATGTGTAGAACAGCATCTAGCACATATAAGCCTGCACTTCCTGCTGTCATTTCAGTAACTCTCAGTTACACAGCTCGAGGTCCTTTCCAGTTTCACAAGGTGGAAAATTTGAAAGCGTTTAGACATTGGTTAAGTTATGTTGCATTTTTGTTGTCTGCCTCAGGGCTTTCATTGGGCTAATAAAGTAAAATATGAGAACTCAGCATGGACTGCTTCCCTGGTAGGTCATTTCCTCCTGAGAAGAACCCTGAGAACAGCCCATTCATTATAATATTTTTAGCCTGGGACTGGAGCACACTTGATTTCATTTGCACTTAGCACTGGGCTGTGGAAAATTCCTTCTTGGATGTGCGTGATCCTGGCTGCCACTCACGGTCGACTTATGGCAGAGGGAGCAGCAAGTGCACAAGGAGCCACAGGTGGAAACGCTGTGGTTGGGACCTGCCTTTCTTCCCCACAGGAGTGCGTCCTTGGGTGTGGATGAGTCACAGATGAGAGCAGATGAGAGAGAGGGAGGGAGGGAGAGAGATGAAGCTAAAGAGCCTTGGTCAATTGAAAAATAAAAGCTTTGGGGAAGCAAATGCAGGTCTTCAGTCTGGAAAGATACTTGAGCTATTTGGTTCGAGCTGAGCAGCAAGCAACAACGTTCACTCCGGGGAAGCCCAGTGTCAGGAGCCCTGCGTCTGGCCAGCTCGCCCCACAGTGCACTCCATATGGATCAAATCTTCTTGCATTGACACTGACTTCCAGATCAAAGGACATTTCTAAAAACAGCCTCTCTTTTCAAGCTGCTGCTTGATGAATAAACAGAGCTGGACAAGAGGTCCCTGGGCCTTTTTGATAGCACATTGTCTCCGCACAGAGACCCATTTCCTGCCCAGGGCGTCAAGGCCAAGAGACAGGGGACCATCCTCAGGGAAGGTGAAGTCCTGAGCTCCTGCCAGCACTCCCCAGGGCTGGGCTGAGATAAGCTCAGACAGAGCACACAGTCTGGCTCTGTTCCTGTGGCCCAGCAGCTGTGTCTGCTGCAGCTGCCACGGAGGAAAAGGAAGACGGCAGTCAGTCACAGGAACAATGTGCTCGCCAGGCAGCCAAGAGGAAGGAATGGACCACAGCAAACAGCCCCAACCCCCTTATCTCAGAAATCTCGCATCCTCAACGCACTCGCTTAGGAGACAAGGATCATTTCTTTTCCGAGTCCCTGGCTCCAGAAAGAATTTAGAGTTCTGGCAGGATCCCAAAGGGCATGGAATTTAAAAGACACAGGATTAACACTTTTTCTTATGCCAGGCATTGTATGCTCGGCGGCTTTACATTTGGAATCTTATTTAATCCTCACTGCAACCTGGAGAGATTGCCCTGTTTTGACGAATGAGGCGACTCTGAGAGGGTGAGAAGGATGTCAGGTCACAGGGTGGCGGATGGGGAGCTGTGCCGGCCAGAAGGGCCTGGGAAGCCCCAGGATGCTCCAGCTAGGCAAACACTCCTGCTACCCACCTGTTCCTCCAGCCCAAGTGTTGCCGCCCACGTGGGGCATGTTGTCTGGGTCTTCCTTCCCGTGTTTGGGGGAGCTCACATCTTCACCACTGTCTCTGTTGATTGTTATCTACAATGAAGAAAGGAGAGGCCATCATTATCCTGTGACCAACACCTGGAACCCCGTGACAGAGAGAAGGCTTCTTTCCCACGAGTTCTGAATGGATCTCATGACGTGATAGATGCTGTTTGTGTATGGTAAAAAAAAATATATTTTTAAATCAGATTTAACATCCATTTATTTGAGAAGGAGATGAATTAAAATTTCAGGACACTCTTTTAAAGGAAGAAAAGGAGTGGGCTGGGTTTCAGCTTCACGGCTGTCCTGGTGAAGAATGCTCTGAGAGTGTTTTCACAAGGCAGGAGACCCGCCCAAAGCAGGCAAAACCAGAGCCCACCAGAAACAGACATGAAAAGGATCACCGTCTGGCTGATACAGCTGAGTCAGTAAATGCACACTTATCTATTTCACTTTCAAAGAAACCCCATTACTCTGAGAGCTGTTATAGTATGTAAAATATATGGGAGGAAAAAAAAACTCAGAAAATGAATGCCTGTGTGCCGGAGTGACAGATTTATGTCTATAGATCTGCAAATACTAAAAACTGCTGATTTATTTTCTGGACCCGCTCCAATTTTATTATGGTATTTTGTGGCTTTCCTAATTCATCTTTAACGCTGGATTTATGATGCCTGCAATTCAGACAGAGTAAGTGGTACGCTAGCCCTCCGCTAGGGGAGCACACAGTCCATCGGTCGCCGTTTCAATCAGCACGGCTGACAACCACGCAGGAACACCAATCCCAGTAATCGGCTGACTGGGCTCGAGTCCGCGGCAGAAGGACCCTGAAGCGTTCACGTTTCGTGGGCACTGTGCACCTGCTTTCAAACGTAACAACTTTCAGGGAAGAGATGATAAAATGTTCTTTTATAAGTCCTACAAGGAACACACTGATGGGATCCTGAAGAGTACCAAGGGCCCACAAAGCCTTGAAGAGTTGGTCTTGACCTCAAAGTGCTTACAGCAGGGACGAGGGAGCTTGTTGGGCCTGAAACACGCGGCAGATCAGTTCTTAGAGTGAATCCACTTGTGAGTGTGTGTGCTTTTCCTTCTTGAGGTTAGGATCAATAAAGGCAGACAGGAGGTGATTTGAGGTCTTTGCAAACAAAAATGGAGATTAGGGATGAACTAATCACAACTTCCATGGCCTATGTCCAGATGAGTTCACCTCAACTGTTAGATCATCACAAAGCAATTTTAATTCACTAGCCCGTAATTTCCTTTTTTTTTTAAATTATTTTATTTACTTGGAAGAGAGAGGAGAGACAGAAGGAGATCTTCTATCCATTGGTTCAGTCCCCCAATGGCTGTGATGGTCGGGGCTGGGCCAGACTCAAATCGAGATCCAGGAACTCCATCTGGGTCTCCCACCAGCGTGGCAGGATTCCAGGCACTTGGGCCACCTTCCGTTGCCTCCCAGGCATGTCATCAGGGAGCTGGACTGGATGTTCAGCAGCCATGGTATGAACGGGCAGTCTGATTTGGGATGCTGGCATGATAACCACGGCTCAACCCACGGCACCACAACACTGTCCCTTCCCTGGACTTTTCTTCCAGCAGCTTTATACACTGTTTTTTTTTTCGCTTTACACAGGAAGATACATTTATTACAATAATGCTGCCCCTGTAGCTTCTCAACTGATTCTGGAAGGATCGACAGAATCCATGGAATGTTCTTTTGAAATATCTTTGATGCCAGCAATTATGTGTTCTTTCAAAGTGGATTTGATTTTTAATAAACAACCAAAGGACACTTACAGCTGATTTCTGGTATAATGTATCTGCTAACTCAATATGTAACCTTTGAAGTAAACCAATGAACTTCTCTGGGCCTCAACTTTCCTACCAGAAACTAAGAGAGGTGAACTAAATTTCTGCTGTTCCTCTAGAGTTAATATGCTGTGACTGATTCAATTATTCCAAATCTGGTAAAAACAAAATATGGAGCTTCAGGTAGAGTATGAGTCAAAATGAGGTACAATTATGCAACAGTGAGCCCGGTTTATGTATAAGAGTTACGACTCTTCCATAAGCCAATTCTCAAAGAGAAGTTCCAAAAATGGTCTGAGCAGTGGCAATTTTCTCAGTATCATTCCTCGCTTTGGGGTGTGTGTGCATTCTGGTATGCTGTTTAAAAATAAATAAGACTAAAAGAAGTATGAAAAACAAATTTCCATGTGTCTAGTAACTATTTTCATAAAAAGTTATCTCTTTTAGACATTTCACACCATCCAGTTATGCTATAAAAGAAAAATAGCCCTTTATAAAACAAGTGCTAAAAATGATGGCTGAAGGCAAACAAAAGGCCCCTCCAATGCTCCCCCCCACCCCCACCCCGGTAGCTCCCACTCCAAGTTTTGGAGGTTGTAAAGCCAGCCATGATGGCCTGAGGGAGGGAGAAAATAGGCTATGAGATGTCTCTGCAGACAAGCACCTGTACTTCTTTGCCACCTGAGTGTCTTGTTCCCGGGAAATGGCCCTTCTCATGTAGCCAGCGACAAGGCAGCCCCCCAACCACCCTAAGCAGCGAGATTCAAAATCGACTAATATGAGACACGCATACCATAAAATCCCAGGGATCTTGAATTGGGAGCATGGCACATGGGGAGTTTATTTCATCTGGCGTCACTGTGCAAATGTCATTATACTTTCTCACAGGAATATATTTCCCAGGGGTGGGGAACCTTTTTTCTGCCAAGGGCCATTTGGATATCTACAACATCATTCACAGGCCATAAACAATTATCCACTCAAAAAAGAACCTGCTATAGATTTACTGGATTTAGGGTCTCACCTGCAGTTGCCTTGGCAGGACCAGATCAAATGCTTTCAGCCCCCAGGCCAGACATTCCCCACCCCTAGATGAATGGGAGGAGCACATATTCTAAGGGGCTTTCAGAGCCATTTTAGGGAATCTCTTACAGGCACTGACAATGATTCCTAAAAGCTGCAACAGACAGGCTCAGTCAGTCCAATGCAGAACAGAAACCGGGACAGACAGGAGGGAAGGCCTATCATTCGAGGAGGCTCACTCCCTGGGGATGGACTTATGCTGCAGAGCCACTGGCCATTCGGAAAAGTGATAAACTGCTGTCTGTTTTCATGCACGTGTTGAGGAGCAACCAGGATGCATTTCCTTTAGTTTCATCCAGAATGGGTTCCAGGAAGTCATCCCAATCACTGAAATAGGCACTATGTCATTTGGGGAGTGAACCAGCAGATGGAAGACCCCTCTCTCTCTCTCTCTCTCTCTCTCTCTCTCTCTCTCTCTCTGTCTTCTCTACCTCTCTAACTCTGTCTTTCAAATAAATAAAACATATCGTTAACAAAATTTATTCATTTGAAAGAGAGAAAGAAATAAGAGAGATAGAGACCGAGAATGAGAGTGAGAGCAAGAAAAGGAGAGAATCTTGTATCCACTTTTTCATTCCTCAAATGGCCACAACAGCCAGGGCTGGGACAGGCTGAAGCCAGGAGCCAGGAACTCCTTCCTGGTCTCTCACATGGGTGGCAGGGACTCAAGTATTTGAGCCATCATCTATCTGCTGCTTCTCAGTCATATGAGCAGGCAGCTGGATCGGAAGTAGAATAGTTGAGACTTGAACTGGCACTCCAATGTGGGAAGCAGGTGTCCCAAACAGCAAGTAACCCACTGTGCCTTGATTCCTGCCTACCTTCATTTTTTTTTTAAAGATTCTACTGATTTATTTGAAAGGCAGAGTTACAGAGGCAGAGAGAGAGAGAGGTCTTACATCCAATGGTTCACTCCTCAGATGGCTGCAACAGCCGGAGCTGTGCCGATCCGAGGCCAGGAGCCAGGAGCTTCTTCTGGGTCTCCCACATGGGTGCATGGGTCCAAGGACTTGGGCCATCTCCAACTGCTTTCCCAGGACATAGCAGAGAGCTGGAGGGGAAGAGGAACAGCCGGGACTCGAACCGGCGTCCATATGGAATGTTGGTGATGCAGGCGGAGAATTAACCTACTGCACCACCATGCTGGCCCCTCCCAACCTTCATTTTTTAAAAAAATATTTAATTAATTTATTTGAGAGGTAGAGTTACAGAGAGAGAGAGGGAGAGACAGAGAGAAAGGTCTTCCATCTGCTAGTTTGTCGCTCCCCCTCTTCGTGGAGGAGCAACACAGGACCCTGCGCTGTTCTTTCGTCTGCTCGGCCCTCCCCGGGTTTGCTGCTGGTTCTTCCCGGGTTGGCTACTATCCCTTCCACCTCCGTGGAAGGGCAGTTCCCCCTGGCCGCATTCCCCACTTCCGCAGGGGAGCGGCACACCGCCGGCCGGCTTTCTCGGGGGCTGCACGGGTTCCCTTAGATGTTCCCCATAGATGTTCCTGGTGCATGCCGTCTCTCTCCTCCTTTATAGTCCTCCTCCGCCAATCCCAACTCGGCTGAGTACGCTGCTCTCCAATCAGGAGCAAGTCCTACAGTTAATTGGTTGAACTGGAGGCAGCTGTGCGGAAGCTGTTTACTTCTCTCCCAGCGCCATATTGTGGGAGAGCAGATGCATAGAATAAGTCCTAATTCGAGTAACTTAGTCTAGTCCGGATTGCTCCCCACACTAGTTCACTCCCCAATGGCTGCAATGGCCAGAGCTGAGCCAATCCAAAGCCAGCAGCCAGGAGCTTCTTCCAGGTCTCCCATGTGGATGCAGGGGCCCAAGCACTTGGGCCATCTTTCACTGATTTCCCAGGTCACAAGCAGAGAGCTGGATGGGAAGAAGAGCAGCCAGGACATGAACTGGCGCCCATATGGGATCCCAGCACCGGAGGTAGAGACTTAGCCTACTATGCCACCGTCCCTCCTATGCATTTTTATGGTACATCTACTATTCACAGGGATACAGAAGTGTGTGAAACAGGATATCTGCTTCTAGAACAAAGCAAAAGGGAAGAAATCTAAAGGGGCACAAAGAGACAGCACAGGAAGATACAAGCAGTCATAAGGCAGTGACTACATCTGCTTAAACTACACTATTGTCTGGGGCGGGAGCTGTGG